ATAACTGAAAACTAAAACTTCAGACTCCTAAATGGGGAGAACCATAACATTCTCAGTCTGGGGTAGAACCAGACCTCTCAGAGACATTGGACATACTATAATGCTGCCACTACCATGCTTCACACTGAGGCCTGTGTTCATCAGTGAACTCAGTAAAATAGGATTTTGAAATTCAACTTTGTTCTTTGGAAAAGTGAATGCCTAAAAAAAAAAGGAAAAAATATTAGAAAATTTGATTTTTAGAAAAGATATTTGAGAAAAATAATAATAATAAAAAAAAGTGCAAAAAACAAAAAGCAATTAAAGGAAACAGTAAAATGTTCTTTAATTTAGCTTTCTTCCATCTATCCATCCATTTTCTCCCGCCAATTCTGTCAGGGTGGGGGTGGGGCAGGTGCCTATCTCTGGCAGTTAATGGGTCAGAGGCGGGGTCCTTCCTGGAAAGTTTGCCAGTCTGTTTCAGGGCAACACAGAGACACACAACCAGGCTTCTCTACTTAGCCAAATTAACAGTCATTTTTTTTGGACTGTGGGAGGAAGTCAGAGTACCCAAAGAGAACCCCTGCATCACAGGGAGAACATACAAATTCCACTCAGAAAAGGCCATCAGGACCCAGGGCTTGGAATTGAACCCAGAACCTTCTTGATGCGGGGCAGCAGTTCTACAAACTGCTCCACCTTGCAGCATTTTTACTTCCCTGTTTTTCCTGTGCTTATACCGCTAATGCCATAACAATGACAGTATAGTTGTGATGCTTTAGAGTAAATGCGGTTGTGTGTCTGCAGTGGCTGCAGACGACCACAGTCAGAACGCGTCGTTCGTCTGCGTGCTTCTGAGTCACGGCGATGAGGGCGTGGTTTACGGCACCGATGGATTCGAAAAGTTCGAGGATCTGATCAGATGCCTTAAAGGAGACAATTGTAAAAGCCTGGTGGGGAAACCAAAGCTGTTCTTCATACAGGTCAGTTACCCTTTAGGTTTCATTCAAATATCTCCAGCTTTGATGGGGGGTTGAACTTTGTATTTAATCTGCTTCCCTTCTCCTTCTTTGCGTTTTCAGGCGTGCCGAGGTTCAGCCCTGGATGACGGCTGTTCGATAGAGACGGATTCTGTGGTAGATCAGACATCTGAGCGGATTCCTGTAGAGGCAGACTTCTTGTACGCGTACTCCACAGCTCCAGGTAACCGTCCAGACTGTCTTCCTGCTGGTTGGTTGGTTAAACCCGCTCTCTAACCTGTCCCTCCGCCTGCAGGCTACTACTCCTGGAGGAACACGAGCAACGGCTCCTGGTTCATCCAGTCTCTGTGTAAAAACCTGGATAAGTTCAGCGGACAGCTGGAGCTGATGCAGATCATGACCCGTGTCAACCACCATGTGGCGTTGGACTTTGAGTCTGCGTCCACCCTGCCCGGGTTTGACTACAAGAAGCAAATCCCCTGTATTGTGTCGTTGTTGACCAAAGATTTCTACTTCCATAATAAACAATAAACGATCTGAATCCCTAATCTGATTCATTACTCCTCGGCTCTGGGAGAGAGAAGCACTAAAAGAGCGGCCTTGATTTCACTCAGTGTATACAGACAACTGACTTTGGTTTAATAAGGAGTTGTTTTTCATTTGGGGTCTTTTATATGTCATATAACTTTTTTTTTAAGAAGCAGGACAGCCAACTCACAGATTTCTGGTTTTCAACCAACACAAAGTTCATGTAACAATTTAGCTGCTTTCATCCAGCTGGTTGCTGCTAATAACCAACTGCAGGATTCAAAACGGGTCTTTAAACGGTTTAAAGGTCCATCAGATTCTCAGACAAGCTTCTAAATGTTCCTTTAAAATAAAAGGAGTAGTTTGGCTGATTGGAAATACAGACATCCCAAGTTCCAAAAACTCATTTCAGGGAGATGCTTCTCCCCCAACCCCCTGCCCCCCAGGGACAACGGACCCACACCGTGCCCCATACACACACACACTTAAGGCCTAACTAAACAGAACAGTATTGGTTATTTTCAATACTTTCAATCTTGTAGCCTTGAACATCGGTTGTGCTTTCTGTTTGTCATAGGACTTCAGCATACAGTGCACCTCGCCACGGTGTCATCATTCCTCACCATGGCCGGTTCTAGACAAGGGCCAATGGGTGCCAGTGCCCCTGTAGATCATGTCCTGGCCCCTGTTATGGCCCCTGTACTGAAGACATAATACTTAAAAGAAATTGTAATGATGATATGAAATGAAACAGACATTGTGATCATTATTATCATGATTACTGATAGGTCATTTGGATCTATTTCATTCTTTTTCTTTACAAATTCTGTATTACTAATTAATCAAAAACAATAAGGTGATAGCTTCAGAGGGATTGACATAGGATCCCAGTTTTCATCTGCTAAATGTTTTTTTTTCATAACAAGTAAAAAAAAATCCTCTAATTTTTACAGATGAATTTAACAGTTTTTCTTGAGTTCTAATTCAAATTTTATAGAAAACAATAGTTTTAACTTAAATCAAGTCAAAAAATATGTAAATTCCTAAATTATAAAGGTATATTGACCTCATAAGAAATAGAATTTTTATTGAACCTAATTAAAAAGAAATTTGAATTTCAATCCCTTGCCCTGATTATTTATTTCATGCTTTTCTTTTTCCCTATGAAAACAGGCTGGCCCCTCTTGGCTCCCTGGTAAATTTGGTCTAGATCCGCCACTGTTCCTCCCCTTCACTAGACGTGGATATACTTTAGTATATTCTGTTGTAAAATTAGTCCTATATTTTCGTTTTTTACTCGAGGATTCAACCTCTGTCGTTTCCCAGGATGCACAGCTTTGAGTGGTAACTAGGTGACTGCCAGAGAGTAACCCAGAGAAACTTATCTGGCTGATCCATCAGTGCTCTGATCAACCAGTCACCTGGATCGGTGGTTGAACAGAGCATCGCAACCTACACATCAAACAGCAAATGCTAAATATAAGACATAGTTAAATAGACATAGCCACATTGAAACATAGCATGTTAATCATGCTCAGCGTGTCCCCCTTAAGCATTGGGGTCAGGAATAAATGAGTTATCAGACTTAACATATTCAAGGAATGGTCTCCAAAGACTAATAAACATTACACTTCTACCTATCATAGACAGTCTGATTTTTTATAGTTTGATAAAATAGTAATAATAATAAAATCAGGAACCAATAACCTTTAGTCAAATGATTCTTTACCCTCCTTGAAATAGCTAGCAGTGAATAGACATCAGGATTCCACTAAATGACTCTTGGTCATACTTGCTAATGGAAATGTAATGAGCATCTGAGGAACACATGAATATTAATGTTATATCAGTGTTTAAATCCTTAGTGAATAAAGCTTGTCTAAGCTTCAACAACAGCTCAACACATGTTAATATAGCATAGCATACAGTCCATCGTGTTAGCTTTGTTTTTACTCATCACCAGTGGTGTCAAAAGTACACACATTTGTTACTTAAGTAGAAGTATAGATACTGCAGCTTAAAAACACTCTGGTAAAAGTTGAAGCATCAACTTGACCTCTTTACTCAAGTAAAAGTGAAAAAGTATGTGCACCAAAAACTACTTAAAGTATAAAAGTATAAAGTGACCTTTAAAAAAAACAGCCAGATGCAACGATATGAATTGAAAGGTAAATATTTTGACTATTTGGAAAATTTCTTTGAGATAGGGCCAAGGATGAGGGAGGTCTTGTTGGTCTCCGTCTCCCGATACGCTCTTGTCTGTGTCCGACCTTTCAGACATTTCATCATCTTTTTGTGAATCCTACATTGTAGCATGGCATAGACAATTCACGTTTGCAGTTTGAAGAACACCTGCTTGCTTCTGATGATTTCCTTTAGCTAACCAATGAGTGTTTGCGTTATATGACTCATCCAATTACACTAGTTTTCACTAGATGTGGATGGAGCCAATGATCTGCATTAGATGGAGCACATGACGTGAAATAAATATTTATAAACATCAATATAGTATAGATACCTAAAAAGTGTACTTAAGAATAGTAACAAAGTATTTGTACTTCATTACTTGACACCTCTGCTCATCAGTAAACACATGAAATGATCAAAATCATCAAGACATATTGTTTGTTCTGCAAACCTCTATGTTCGTTTGGAGGGCTGGAGGCAGCAGCAGCCACACCTATTTAGGAGGAGTCCTGCGGAGCCAGTTGGCTGAGAGGGGGGTGCAGAGCAGAGAAGAGAGGTATCACAGCTGTTTTATGGGTGAAGCATCCTCTTCCCCAGTTATCATGTTTAAGATGAAACCTGAACATTGGTTCTAAATGTCCAAAATTATGATCATGGTTTACGGCACAACACATGGGATAACTGCATAAAGAGGGATGATATTTAATGGGATGGAATCAAGAAGTAAAAACATGGCTGTTTGTTGGTTATTTTAGATGGATTTTAGAAATAAAATTAGTTATTAAAACCAGTATTGTTACTTCAAAGGAGCCATAACCTGCTATTTTACCAATAACATGCTTTTGAAATTCTTTTGAAATTCATGTTTAGTCACTTTTAGGAGTAAAGATAATAGAAAAGAGCAAATTTAGACCTCTTTTCTCTCCCTTCTTTTTGTGTGGATAAATCTGAGAATCTGGATAATGTGTATCAGTGGCGACTGGTGGAGTTTTCTCCACAAAATAAATAAATTCAAAATAGACGTATATAAACAACCAGTCAAATGTATACTAAGTTATTGCACCAGTATATTTATATGAATGCCAACAACAAAAACATTATGAAAACACTTTATAAAAACAAAACCTGTTTTCATAAACAGGTTTAGTTTTTGTACATAAATCTTGCCCTTATGAGCTTTGTGAAGATAAATCTGTGTTTTAAATGCTCCAATATTGTGTCACAAACCTAATAAATGTATGTACCAGTTTAATAATGGAGAAGCTATTAGTCAGCTTCATATTTTTTTGATGTATAA